AACTGTTCTGGAACAGTGTTGTAAATACAACTTAACCACTGATTTCTAGTTGTGTCCTCTTTTGGAAGGCCAAACAAAGACACACAGCATCTCCACAACATGGCGGCTGCGGCAGCAACAATACTACAGGGAAAATCAAAGTTATGCCTTCTTTCTTTGCGTGAACATTTGGGCATGCAAATCTTCCCACATCGTGACGTAGACATGTGGGGGCATGTTAGAACGAGCCATTTTAGGTAGGCGTGGCTGACTCTTAACTTTTATAAAGAATATCTCTTTGGATTTGAGACTTTAGTCTTTGCAACTTTACAGATCTTCTTTATGCACCAAGAGCTTGTAACACTCCAAAGACAAAGGAAAAATTGAAATTGCATCATATGACCCCTTTAAAAACGGAAGAAGGAAAAATTCTGTTTATAAAAATAACCGTGTACGTGTGGACATGGCCTCAGTAAACACTAGGGCTGCCCCCTATAGTCGACTAACTGTTAGTTGACCAGAAGAGGCTTGGTCGACCAAAATTGTATTAGTCGCTTAGTCGCAAAAAAAAAAAAAAAAATTCCATAGGCACAGTCACACAGTCCTTGAAAGTCCTTGATGGAAAATTTAGTGTAAATTTTACATTGTAAATTTTCAGTAAACATGTATTTACATTCAAATTAAGAGGGTAGTTTAAAATAAAATATATCTCTAGAATGAATGAAAAACTTTCCTTTCTTTGTCATCCTTCCATATTAGTAAAGCCAGATCACAATGACGACTGTAGTTGTGCAGATGCCTATGAAGAGTGGCTGGAATACAGGAATATGTGACTGTTGCCAGGACTTGAATTCTTGTAAGTATGCTTAAAGGCCTTATAATAAATATTAAAGGACCATTTTTACAGTTCATTAAAAATGATGCAAATGATATCACATTATGTGCATTTTTGGTCCTCAGGCTGCTATGCGTACTGGTGCTTTCCTTGCTTTACCTGCACCACCACTGGAGAGTTTGGGGAGAGCACCTGTCTGCCTCTGCTGGACATATTCGGCCCATGCATCATGGCAGCTTTCGGGGTTCCAGTATGTGTGCCACCTGTGTCTCTGGGAATGAGGGTGGCAGTTCGCCATAAATACGATATTGGGGTGAGTTTTTCCTTTCCCTCTACCAGTGAAACAGGAAATCAAAGAGGGCTTCAAAACAATAATTTGTTTGTACGTGTTGCAACAGGGCAGTATCTGTGAGGACATCATGGTGACTTGATGTTGCATGTGGTGTTCTTGGTGTCAGATGAGTAGAGAAATCAAAGCACGCAAACAAACGGTCACTGTACTGACAACACATCCCATGATTCAACCCATTCCAATGGCAACCACCACACAAGTTATCGCTACACAGCAGGCGTTTGGAGTGATCAATGTGGCACCGGTAGCATTCGCTCCTGCAGTCCAGATGGCACCAATTCCGTCTGTCACAACAGTTGTTAAATAGATGGACTGCTACTTGCATCAATAATGATGGCATGCATAAATATATAGACACAATATATAGAGACTATAGTAACTGATGCATAGTGTGATATCTAATCTGCTTAAATTATATTTTGTGAATGGCTTGGATGCATTTGGAAAGTGCCTGTATCTTTATATTGTTTAGTCTCTGATGATTTTTGATTAAATATTTTAAAGTGATCTTGTCTATGAATAACTAGTAGCAGAAGTGAGCACAACTCATTTCTGAAGAAAACTGAGATACTGTTTACAGGAATAAATATATATGTTGTGCTTCAAAAATGGAAATAGAATCAGATTTCTTGAAAACTAAAACATTTAACGTAAGTGAAGTTGTAGCATGGCTGACTTTAAAATTTAAATGCATTTGTGTTTGCAATTCAACATTTGTTAACACAGCACAGTTCATTCTGAATATCATGCTGGACAGAAAAAAGTAGGGCTGAGAAATGTTTCACAAGAAAACAAAAGAGGAATTATGGTAAATAGGGAAGCTAATCTCTCGTCCTTCAGAGACTGTGTGAAGGCTTTTTCTTTTACGTAGCAACATTTTTTGTGGGACTGAAACTAGGAGACTCAACTCAGGTATGTGACCTAACAAACTATTTATACATTGATATTTAACTTGCATAGTTTTAATTTATACACCATATATTTATACATGCACTTAAAAGAAATATGCATAAGAGAACTCAGTCTTTATATTTTAGTCCATTTTAAATGCTGTGTATTTTCTTAGAAAGGCATTTAAAGTGATTTTCATGCTGATTATTTTTGTTATTTTGAGAGGAAAAAAAGAGAGAAATGTGTGGATACATTTCCCTCATTTTCCTTTGGACATCCCTCCTTCTGTCTTTACCCTGTGGTTGTAATGGCGATAAGATCCTGGTTTTCCCCGTTGATGGCAGTCACTGGGTGAACATGGAGGTACTGATTTAAATACACAGGGACAGTAGTTAAAAAAAATATTGCACTATTTCAGCAAAGTTCACTATTTCTGGTGTGGAAGTCTGTTTTCACCTCAAAGTAAAAACTAAAAGGTAATTTAAAGGAATAGTTCACGCAAAAATGGAAGTTTGTTGAAACATTATTCACACTCAGGTCAAGATTTTTCAATTTTGAACTGTTCCTTTAAGATAAATAAAGTTGCATTTGTGAGATATAAAGTTGCAATACTAAAAAATAAAGTCACAATCAACTGCAAAATTTGTCACAACTGTGAGATGTAATGTCCCAATTGAAAAATGTGAGGTGAAAACTGGCTTCCATGTACCGGAGCTCCTCTGGAGATACATACATAAAAAAGCAATCCAAAACACAGAAAAGCAATCCAGCTTGCTTAGTATGATTAAAACCTAAGTGCACTGTATTACTGCCCCCTAGGTGCTGGTGAAGAAGCTGCACTCTCATGGACACGAGCTGAGTGTGATTCGCCTGACGGACAGCTGGTTCATCCAGGAGAATTCACCTTACTACACCTCCATTACGGTGATGCTTAAACAGAAATACATAGGCCTGGACCTGTTTGAGAGCGCAGTACAACGGATTCTTGAGGCCCGCAGGAAGGGCCCAGTGATGGGTGTGCTGGCCCAGATGTCAGAAGTGATTGGCATCATAAAGGTGGCTCACACTGCAAACTGTGCCATGCTCACCACCATGCTGGAGAACAAAGATCTGATGACACAAATAAAGATGGAGAACTATGACTTGATGCTCACTGACCCTGCCATGCCAGGTGGGGTCATCCTGGCACATTACCTCCAACTTCCAATGGTCTATAACATCTGTTGGATGAGTTTCGGAGAAGGCCACTTCTCCATCGCATCTTCTCCCATATCCTACGTGCCTGTTCCCGGCTCAGTTCTGACGGACCAAATGGGTTTGTTAGAAAGAACCCGTAATCTTCTACATTATGGGTTGAACCTCATTCAAGAGCGCTGGCTGGTGATTCCCATGTATTCTAGCTTGTTGCTCAAATACTTCCCTCCCGGTGCCGACCTCCTAGTCATGCAACAATCAGCGGAGCTGTGGCTTGTCCGCGTAGACTTCGTGTTTGAGTTCCCACGACCCTCCATGCCAAACCTCGTCTACATTGGCGGCTTCCAGTGTCGTCCAGCCAAGCCTCTCCCTGCAGAGCTGGAGGAGTTCATGCAGAGCTCAGGAGAACATGGGGTGGTCGTGATGTCTCTGGGAACTCTGATTGCAGGATTGCCCCGAGAAGTCATGGAGGCCATTGCCACAGCTTTCGCCCGCATGCCGCAGAAGGTGATCTGGAGGTTTATTGGCGAGAGACCTTCATCATTGGGCAATAACACCCTACTGCTTCAATGGATACCTCAGAATGACTTGCTGGGCCATCCGAAGACCTGTGCTTTCGTGGCTCATGGGGGCACCAATGGTCTATACGAAGCCATCTATCATGGGGTGCCAGTGTTGGGACTCCCTTTGCTATTTGACCAGCTAGATAACATTGTACGTCTTCAGGCAAGAGGGGCGGCACGGATGCTGGATGCAGCTACTTGCACCACAGAAGAGTTCCTTGAAGCTTTGAGAGATATCTTAGAGAACCCAACGTATCGTCATAACATGCAGAAGCTCTCCAGTTTACATCGAGACCGGCCTTTGCATCCTCTCGACAAAGCAGTGTACTGGATCGAGTTTGTCCTGCACAATAAAGGGGCACACCATCTGCGTGCTGAGGCTTACAACATGTCCACGTACTCCTACTACTGTCTAGATGTGGCTGCATTGGTTCTCCTTATACTTCTGCTGACTCTGGGAGGTGTCTACACAATATGGATACGAAGACGGAAAAGAGGGACAAACAAGGCAGTGAGAGACGGCAACAAAAAAGCTGTAAAGGACGGCAGTAAGAGGCTGAAAGAGACAATTAATGCTCTGAAAGACTGCAACAATATTCCCATTTCAAAATTAAGAGCAAGCAAAAGAACTTAGTGAATAGGTAAAGAATCCAGAGAGCTACTTCATTTTTCTTTATTATATATATATATATATATATATATATAGTGTGTGTGTGTGTGTGTGTGTGTATATGCATTATATGCAT